GCTACTTTATACACGTTCGTTGCTGTTTTCGGCGTTGTCGGTAATACTATCGCGGTAACCATAATACGAAGAACCCCTTCCGATGCACACAACAAAAAACTATCTCTTTTCAAATTTAGCCGAGGCTGATATCTTGACTTTCATTCTCTGTCCTTGGGTGTACGACTCTGCTTTACCAACGTCAGCCTAAAAAGGGATTCACGGGGGATTTTATCTGCAACCTTTTTTGTGTAGGGAAAGGATGTTGTTCCGGTCACCATCTACTTCGCCGTTCTTATTGTCTGTACGATTGCTGTGGAACGGTGTTTGGCTCTTCTCAAACTCTTTAGTATCAGCTTGGGGATAAATGAAGACTAAGTGAAATATGTTTTTTTTTGTGCTGTGGCTACTCGCTTTGCTTTCTTGAATCCCAGAATTCAAGCCGATAAGCACGATATCTCGTCTTCCATACACTTATCCGTGAAAACGCTCATGGAGTTTAGATGAGTATTTCCTCCACGAGCCCTTCATTATGTTCGCTAGCGCTGTTATTTTTTCCGCCTTGAAAGTTCTATGATACTTTTTATCTGTTATTCTGAGATCATTCGTAGATTGTGCTTTACGAACGAAATTTGCTCAGATTTATCTGACACAGAAACAGAGAGAAAGACAAAGAAACAAGTAGCTCTCCTTCTCATCTTAGTGACAGTCGCCATTTTCATTTGCTCACTACCATTTCATTTATTAACTTGAATTTTTGACAATTATAAATACACCTGGGTAAATGAGTCAAAATATGTTACCAGATCATTCCCCTCTAAACGATAGATCATACGCCGGTTTACAAAAACGAATTTTCAAAGTGTGATACTTGAATAGGACCTTATCTCTTACTCATTAGTTGTTAGTTACGAATAATTTTCGACAGTTAAATATAAAAACATTCAATTCAATTTTCACATCATCATCAGTGTGACGAACGTTCAGCAAGCGAACTGAACTGAAATGAACTGAACTGTTTTGTTTTGTGTGATTATTTACTATCGTTTAAATTCTATTATCGTTTCATTGTTCATTCTTTTAATCATTTATCAGAGCGTATTTGATCGTGTTATTAGCCGCCTATCATGTTTAAAGCCTGTTGCTTACATAATCTCTGTAGTATCACATATCGGAGTGTCGGAGT